CCCCTTTCTCTTTGTCTCTCACTCTCTCTCCCCCCTCTCACTCTCTCTCCCCCCCCCTCTCTCTCTTCTCCCCCTCTCTCTCTGTAAGGGCTAACCCAGGCTGGGAGAGAGATACAACATCCCAGCAGGAGGACCGAGATACTCGGCACAAATTATGTTCTCCCCACTTGTCAGTGGTCTCACAAACTGCCGAACTTATCTCTTCCTTCATATTTCACTGTTTGTATCCGTGAGCAGCCTAAGCGGGCTCATTTCAGCACGATCCCATTAACATTGCCCCTCCTTCCAGAAAAATTATTCAAAGACTTCTAACAAAACCACATTTCTTATTGAACCTATATAAGTTTAGAAGTTTTTCTCGGCCCTAAAAGAGATAAGAGCTACAATTCTCCCCCCGAGACCTAACTTTGACAACACACTCTACGGAACATTCCAGCAACTGCAGCAAACCTGCACTTATCACTACATGGCATTGGACAGAAAGGCGAGAGCCCAGATGTTGCTGGATCGATAACAACTACAACGACAACGACAACGACAACAAGAAAGTTTTCGCCTTCTTGAAAATTCTTCAAAGACGTTTAAGAATCCATTTTTCTTATTGAGTCTATGTAAGTTTAGAAGTTTTTTCCTTCTTGAAAATTCTTCCAATACTTTTAAGAATTCACATTTTTTATTGAGTCTACGTAAGTTTAAAGCCCTACAACGCACTGTGGCTCGAATAGCTCTCACTGAGTTCAATCCTCGAGTTGAGAGAATCTTTCTTGTCGAGTGTTCTCGTCTTTCTGCTGGGATGTTGTTTCCCTCTCAATCAGAGTTGCCCACGACAGGCAGCCCGCCCCCAAAACATGGAAATTGTGTTGAAGGAAGCGAAACACATCCATCATCATCATCATCATCATCATCATCATCATCATCATCATCATCATCATCAACCGGTGCCTTGCCGACTGGCGTGGGCGATCATGGACCTCCACTTCACTCTGTCTTGCGTTGCAGCGATGGTGTCTGTCGTTCTTGCTGTTCCCAGCCTTGTTGTCAATTTCTCCAGTATCTTTTCCTTCGGTCAGCCTCTGCCTCTCTTTCCACTAAACTTGCCTGTAGTTGCAATATTCAGCAATGCTTCTTTCCGTAATGTGTTTCCAATTAACTTTGCCAGTCGCTTTCGTATGAAAAGCATTCACAGCGCATAATTACTTCATTCGTCCAGTGGAAAAAAACACGCGGGCCAAGCAGCTAGCGCGCGAAATAATCTTCCACACAAGCGGGAGTTACTGTCAGAACAACAGGGCGAGTGGTGGGCGAAAAGGGGG